GTGAAGACCTTTTAATTTAGAAAGCATAAACTTCAACAGTCAAAACAATGAGGAGTCCTGTGACACCTAACAGATTTAAGTGCCCTCTTTCATTTGCTGTCCTTCTATTTATACCCATGCCTCTGTAAACGCCACTCCTATTCATCTGATGAAATGGGTTTTACTCAAGAAATAATAAATATTAGTCTGTAAGGTGCCTCATTGTTTTTGCAGATACAGACTAACATGGCTACTCCTTTGAGACTTTTCATCAGTCAAGACAGGAAATGATACAAGGACGACTAAAGTTTATTAAGATAATATTAAGGAAACGACAAATTCTGGGGATGATGCCGACAAGGTTGTACAGGACTAGAAAGACAGTAAAAGACTAGCAGTTGCTAATTCTATGATAATTATTAAAACAGAATAGCTCTGCTATTCAGCTGTAAGGTCTGTTATTACCAGTGGCAGCCAGAGTGACAGACCGACCGAGACAGCTGTTCTATTTAGTTTTTTAACAATATTCAGAGGTAGCTTTGGTGAATATGTGCTCCCTTAATAGTGCTATGTGATTAGCATTTATCATCCCCAGGAAATTTTTAATTTAAAAATTGGACAGTTTGCTGCCCCTGCCCTGCACTTCCCATCAAATTGCTAGTCAGCTTGCGCAAGTATGGTTGTCTCAGAGGCACTTTTAGACAATAAGTAAAATTTATTTATCCTCACTCATACATGCATAGTGTATAAGATTTATTCCCCCCCCCCCCCCGTACATACATTTATTTATTCTCACTCAAATATGCATAGTGTTTTTGGCTTCAGAAGAAAGGGCAATAGGTCATTCTCTCAGGGCTTCACAGAAGCTAGGTTATCTCAACTAGCAGCTGATAAAGCCCATATAGCGGTGCTGGTTTATTTTGGCAGAGTAACTTACATAAGACTTTGCCCTAGCGCAAATGGAAATCTTTGCATTTCCAAAAGACAACTTTATTTTGGGAAGCAAAAATAACTCAAGCCTCAAATCTGCCTCCCTATATCTTGGTTGTAGGATACAAACAACTGTACAACAAAAGGCTCCAAATTCAGTTCTGAATATGCCTTTAAGGAACTCAGGAGTCCAACTATGCCATTAATGTCCATTTGCTATATCAAAGTATGCTCAATTTACAAAGGGGATGGGGAGAGACTCCTCCACCGCCCCCAGTTGTTTTTAGACCTCCAAGTTAAAACTAGGATCTGAGTCAAGCTAACTGCCTCTCAGACGTCATGGCCTACAAGAGTAGGCCAAATCCAGTCTCCAGTAATACCTGTGGAATCCTATTAATTTATTAATTTCACTGATTGGAACTTAGCGAAAACAATTCTTCTGAATACTTTTCCCATAATTTTGTTGGCTTTGCATGACCAAAGGGAGCAGAAAATCAGTAGTGAGGAATGCAGCAGATCTGATACAATGCCCAGGATAAAGTTACAACTCTTAGGTAAGCGACCGTTTTTACAGTAATTTTGGAAAGCGGAACTGTATTTTCTGTTCTTTTAACATACAACATATTGTAAGATGACATATCTAAGACACTCTAGCACTAACACTTCTTGTTCTCTTTCCTTTCTCTCTGACAAGGACCCTACAGGCTGTCACTTTTTGATTTTTGTTAGTAAACTGATAGAGCAGGATGCAATATAGCAGTCTCTTTCCGCATCAGCCACCCACTGGATTAGTAGCCTACATATGGCTAGGCCAGTTCATTTGATCAAAAGTAACTTTCGTTGTGATGTAAAAATACACAACAGTAAATGGTTTATTACAATTCTCTGGCTTTTTTAAAATGACATTCATAGAACTTAATTCATCCCCACCCCCCTCTGGGTTCTCTGGCACTTTGAGAACTCTTGTTCTAAATTGCCCAAGCATATCACTTTGCTAGTTTCCTTAGCATAACATGGATTACTGAGAAGCTACAGCTCTAAGGTTATCAAGGCTATTTTCATGAAGTCAAAGCTATACTGGTATAACTTACCAGGAAGATGGTCATGGTAATTATTTTAGTAAAAAAAAGTACACACAACACCCACATTTTTCTACTGGCACAATATCTGAAAGTAGAGTAGACCTAAGGCTTTGGAATTTCTTTTTGTAAGAATGCTTGGTGCCCATGGAAGCTGTACTAAGTTTCCTAGTTTAAAGAGACTTACACCTGAGTCTGTGATTCTTCCCCCAAGAGGTTGAACTTGCTCCCAAATCACAGCATGTTCTTGCCAATGGTGTTATACACAGGTTCTCCCAGACACTGGCAAAAGTTAGTAAATTATGCCACAACTTCATTAATCTATGACTTTGAGACAGGCCCAGACTAGCTGGCTGCCACACACTGATGGAGGGAAGACATGCTGGGGCTTGGGTGAACTGCTTTCTTTTCCCTGAGTAAGGAAAGGCCAAAACCTAACTATGGATGATAATCAGGCAGGCACCTGGAGTCAATTAGAGCTTGCTAGAAACTACAGGTTGATTAGACACCTACAGCCAATTAAGTCCTATGGTGCCACTATAATAGTCCCCCCCCCCCGCGCGCAAGGAAATGGGGAAGGAAAAGAGCAGAGGACAGGAAGTGCTGTGTGGGTTTGAGTGGAGGACTGAGGGGCAGGTACAAAAGGAAAAGTACCAGGAGGGATTGTTTGGGGGGAAGCGGCCCAGGGAAAAGCTGCCAGATTGGGAGTGGCAGTAACTCTGCCTGTTGCTGCTGCCTTAGGGCCTCTAGGCCAGAACCTGGAGTAGTGGGAGGGCCTGGGTTCCCCCCAACCTCTGCATGACATCTTAACCTCTGTCTTGAGAAGGGTGATCAGGCAGAAGGGACCCCAAACTTATGAACTAGCCTGTGATGAGCATGGCTCCGTAAGCTGTGGCTCTTTTCTCTAGTAAAGAGAAAGAGGCTGTGTGGAGAGCCACAGTGAGCCTCTGAGGCTAACCCTATCCACAAGTAGTGCAAGACCCAGAGGGACTAGCTGGTGTTTTGCCACATTTACTAATTCTGCCAATTGACAAGACACTAAGCAACTTTCCTGTCCTGCTATTGGGGACCCAGTGTGTACACCAATCATTTTTACGGGGAGGAACTGTGATAGGACAAACTAATCCAGATATTGCTGCATGGATATAGTAGAAAAGGGTAGGTTCACTTTAAAATAATATTTTATTCACAAAACACAGGACTGTGTAGCACTTTAACACGGCTACATTTCTACCACTATTTTATTCACCTACCTGTCTTGTTAAAAAGGTAAAATTATTTACATGTGTTGGAGTGTGTGATAAGGATCTTAGCCAATTTTGGTGCTTTTAAACAGAAGATTCAGCAACACAAAATTAAAAAAAATTTATAAAACTGAAGGGAAAGAACCGAACAGCAACAGGAGATGGAGCATACGAGGGGAAAAAATAAACAGCTGTTCTAGTGGTTTCTCGACTTTCAAATGGGTTGGGATATTTACATTGCTTTCTTGCATCTCATCTCAACCCTCATGCCATCTACACTTAAGGGAAAGCTTTATATTCATGGTACCAAGAAAAATATAGTAATCACAAATTGGTACCAGAATGTCAAGAAAATACAGGCAGTCCCCGACTTACGCGGATCCGACTTAAGTCGGATCCGCACTTACGAACGGGGCTTTCTCGCCCCGGAGGTCGAGGTGGCAGATTGCTACCTGCGATCTCCAGGGCGAGAAAGCCCCGTTCGTAAGCTGCTCCGGTGCCCCTGGTCTGCTGGAGACCGTCTCCAGCAGACCAGGGGCACCGGGCGGGTTCCCACGCTTCTGAGGCTTTGCCAGAGCAAAGCCTCAGAAGCGCGGGGAACCGCCGCTGCAGTCCCGGTGCCTGTGGTCTGCTGGGGACCGTCCCCAGCAGACCACAGGCACTGGGACTGAAGCCGCAGCCGCTCTGCTCCCCGTGTCCCTGGTCTGCTGACCAGGCTTTTGTTTTGGACCCTGGAGCAGAGCAGCTGGGGCGCTGCCGATTGGTCCTGCAGCGCCGCTCTGGGCACTACTGGACCAACCCGGCAGCACCCTAGCTGCTCTGCCCCAGGTCCTGATTCAGCCGCTGCTGGTCAGTTTCAGCAGTGGCTGAATCAGGACGCCTGGGGCAGAGCAGCTGGGGTGCTGCTGGGTTGGTCCAGTAGTGCTGAGGAGCGGTGCTACTGGAGCAACCCAGCAGCACCCCAGCTGCTCTGCCCCAGGCGTCCCCAAGTCAGCCGCTGCTGAAACTGACCAGCGCTGACTACAGGAAGCCCGAGGCAGAGTTGCTCTGCCCCAGGCTTCCTGGAATCAGCCACTGATCAGTTTCAGCAGCAGCTGACTTGGGGAAGCTTGGGGTTCTTAAGTTGAATCTGTATGTAAGTCAGAACTGGCGGTCAGTTTCAGCAGCGGCTGAATCTGGACGCCAGTTCCAACTTACATACAGATTCAACTTAAGCACAAACCTACAGTCCCTATCTTGTATGTAACCCGGGGACTGCCTGTACATATTTTCACTGCAACCTCCTACGTGCTCCCATTGTATGCAATGCAGAACAAGAGCAATAAGGTTGAAAGGAACATGAATCTAGAATGGGTTACAGCACTGGTTCTCAACCTGTGGCCTATCTGTGGCTCAGTTGGCATACAACTGCAGCCCATGTGACGTGTGGAGGGCCATATAGATAGTATATATACAGTGTGGGTGTGGCCTATAATGGTAAATAGGTTGAGAACTACTGGATTAGTATGTCAAAGGCAAGGGGTTTGTAGACAGTAGAGCAGATAGCTAGTGAAGATCTCAGAACACTTTCCTAGTCTCTCATCCCTCATGAAGGCATGGGAGTACACTGCAGTAAGGACCAGTTTTTCCACATAATTTTAATGGCATTTCCCTCCTTCAGGTCCCCTAACGTGGTCTCAAAATTCAGTTCAAGAGCTTCTTCTTCAGGGCAGCTTGCAATAGCATAGCACAGATACTCAAAACAGGGGCTTGACACAGACTAGAAAAGTTCTACTTTCTGAAAGAAACATTTAATTGAACACAATGAATTACAGAGGACAGGTTTACACAATAAAAACTGTAACAAGACTTCAAAAATGAAAATAATTCTAACTGGCAGCTGTACCACTGCCAAAGCAATGCCTGCAACAGCAGCAGTAAGATACAAATCCAGCCTTCTTGTAGTACTCTAAATGATGAACAATCCCGTGGAATTTTTTTTAAAGGAAAGGATTAATATAGCATTAGTCTCTTTGACATGGGACATTTCTCAGATAACATAGTGGCTTGAATAGAACTACCGCCAAAGGTGGTAATTACTTTCCAGGAAATGCCCCTGGGCCCTCACTGTTATTGCTAAACATTCCTCTATGATAGAGACTCTAGGACTACTTCTGTCCTAAACTGAGAGAGACCAGAAATTCATACAACTGACAGAAGTGCAGTATTTGAATCCAACTTTTATACTATACTCTCAGTGTCAATGGACACTTGCAAGCACAAATTATTCATGGATATCCAAAGACAAAAAGAATTTGTATCCAAATGGATATTTTCTTCAATCTATAAACTCAGATCTTCCCCATCTCCTCAGTCCATCCCTCCTAGATGATTCATTTTCATCCGTCACTAGTTTCCCTCTCTATCTGCTTAAAGATGCACAAGAAGAGATTGAGGAATAATTCAAGGTACCCATGGTGAAGCCAAATACTTATGAACACATTAAGGCAAGTTTCACATCATTTCACTGTTGGACAAAGAATGCTGGTTACTCCACTGCACATGCAAGTAAGAAAGAGTCAATAAAAAGCATTAGATTCATCATTAGATATTATAGAAAAGTCAAAAACTTTTGCCTCTCTTGTTTTTAAGAGAGGTCGGAATATTACTGCATTCATGTGCAGCTGTACAGAAAAGTCTATGGGACTGGACTTCCTTCACTCCACATATACTAAAACAGAGACTGGGATACTTGGCACCTGAAAAGAGAGGAGGAAATTTTCCTCATCGTTGTCCAGAAATAAGTCCTACTGTACTTTCTGTTTTAGCTGAAAAGGTGTCTCCAACCAGACTTGCACCAAGTCACTACAGCCATCGATATACTTAGTTCTGAAACACCTAATGAGCTATGTCTGGACACACAGGCTTCCATGCCAAGTATTGGCAACCAATGCAGTGTTGGAACTAGGTATAGAAACAGGGTGTCTCTGATACAAAACTGATTCATAGAGTGTAACTTTCCAAACTCATTACAGGCTGAATTGGAAGAGGTACCAGCTTTTCATCTCTAAAGACTACTCATTAAGTCCATTCTAATTTTGAGAGGAAAACGAAATCTAGTGTCCTGAATTCACATACAGAATGAGAATCTACAACATACAGTCTGGTACGAACGGGTAGCCTGTAGCATAGTGGCTACAGAGTGAAAGAGCATCTCTCTTGCCCTCCCCTTGTGTGTTAGGGTGAGAAAAATGGTTTCTCTAGGTCACTGTTAAAAGGTACAATGATAGAAGAGTCTGGAAAAATTTGACTCCTTTATATTATTGACCCATGAATAAAAGGGAATTTGGTTTCAAGTTTTAGGTTTCCCCCCCTTTTTTGCATTCCTTTATTTCCCTTCACACTTTTGTATTCCCCTGACCCTTTAGAAAAGGAAGGAGAAATATAGTTTAGTCAAGTTCATCTTCAAAAATACCCAGCAATTAATGAGCAATCAGCTTCTCAACTTTTTCCTGAAGTGGTTTTGAACATGCTCAAAGGTACAGTTGGATGGTTGGTGCAATTTAGTCTGTAGACACTCTTGGGTTTGTAAATAGTTGTGCTGACCCTGCTGATAGGGTTTTAGACAAGGGATTCTTAGACGGAACTCCCTGGAAGAAAGAGGAAGAAAGAAACACTCAGTAAATCATCAGACTTCTTTACATTTTTTGTAGCAAGTGATCTCTTAAAGGATCTCATCTAGATCTTCAACATGACTGCCTCTTTGGCCCAATTTGCATCACAGTAATATGTTGTTTTATTTGACTGGCTGCTGTTGCTGGACTGCTTCACCAGAAAGGAGTGAAAGATACAGACTGCTCAAATAAAGTTACAATTATTCTAAGTGGCAACAGAAGAAAGAGGAGGGAGCCCAAATAGAAGACAGCATCTTCCATATCCCACATGAACCCCATAATAATGATTATGGAAAAACAAAGATCACTTCTGACCCAACATGGCACTGACAGGCAGATATCACTGCCTCCCAGGAGGACTTTCTTTTCTTTCTTGCTCATGTTCAGCACTGTCATCCTCTAAGGCTACGTCTACATTGGCAAGATTTTGCGCAAATACGTTCAACACAAGAGTTCTTGCGTTAAAGTATTTGCACAAGAGAGCATCTACACTGGCATGTGCTTTTGCGCAATAGCATCCGTGCCAGTGTAGATGCTCTCATGCGCAAGAAAGCTCTGATGGCCATTTTAGCCATCGGGCTTTCTTGCGCAAGAAATTCACGTAGCCTGTCTACATGAGCAACTGTTCATGCGCAAGAAGCCAAAGAGGGCTTATTCCTGAGCAGGAGCATCATAGTTCTTGCTCAAACAGCACTGATTTCTTACATTAGAACGTCAGTGTTCTTGCGCAAGAACTTGCGGCCAGTGTAGACAGGCAGCAAGTTTTTGCGCGCTTTTGTGTAAAATCTTGCCAACGCAGACACAGCCTCAGTGTTTCTTTCTTTCCTAAGAAGCTCAAAAGTCTACAATCTATGTAGCAAAGCAGCAAGGACATAGGCTCTTATTTCAGGGACAGATTACTGGTTGCTTTTCCCCGGATAGAACTTAAAATGATCAAACTTTAAATAGTCATTGAGCACTGTTTTTGTTTCACTGCATAAACTTATATGATGATACATACATAGAGTTCCTGGCTATGGTTGTAATAAAGCAAAGGAACAAGAAAAAAATACATTGGCTTTCCTTCCATAACATGTCTTATTGTGTTTGGATACTGCACTGCAACACCACATACTAAATGAAGATCTATTGGTTTGGCACTATGTGAAGCGTTGAAGATAAAACCACTGCTTGATTTTTTTAAAAATAGTATTAGTTAAAACTAGCAGCACATGGAAATAATTAGTGTTCCTTCAAAATGCACCCACGTATCTGGGTTGTGTATTAAGCATGTGATAAGTACCAAGTGATAATCTTGGAGAACAAAATCCTCTATGTGATCCAAAGAATAGCTACAAAAGTGTGACAGTGCAAGTTCACTCCAGATATGTCTCCGTTAACATCTCACTCACTCCCGGCCTAGAGAGAATGTCCAAAGAGAGTTCATCTCAGTTGTGATTACTGTTATGACAGTCTCCTGTCAATTTAGAACGAAGTCTCCCAAATTAGTTTCACATTAAGACCCCTCCTGCTTCCTACCTTTTGAGACTAAAGTTTGAGTGAGATAAAGTTTGAAAATTAAACAGCTCAAACATCCATGCTCAACTAAATGTGCATATATTTAAAGAGGGAAGTAATTGCTTTTAAGTGCATACTAAAGAATCAGAGGACCGGGAAGGACCCTCAAGAGTCATCAAGATAAGTCCCCTGCATGCATGGCAGGACCACGTATTGTCTTCCATCCCTGATGGATGTTTCATTAATATGCTCTTAAAAATCTCTAATGATGGAGATGCCACAAGCTCCCTAGGCACTTTAGAAGAGTGCTTAGCCGCCCTCACGGTTAGGAAGATTTTCCTAATGTCCAACCTAAACTTTCCTTGCTGCAATTTACACTCATTTCTTCTTGTCCTATCAGAGGATAAATGAGAATTTTCCCCTCTCCTCCTTGGAACAGCCTTTTAGGTACTTGAAAGCTATTCTGTCCCCTCTCATTCTCTTTTCCAGACTAAATAAACCCAGTTCTTTCAATTTTCCCTCATAGGTTATGTTTTCTAAACCTTTAACCATTTTTCTTGCTCTTCTCTGGACCTTCTTCAATTGGTAAGAACATAACATAAGAATGGCTGTACTGGGTCAGACCAAAGGTCCATCTAGCCCAGCAGCCTGTCTGCCAACAGTGGCCAGCGCCAGGTGCCTTGGAGGGGGTGGACCGAAGACAACGATCAAGTGATTTGTCTTGTGCCATCCGTCTCCAGCCTCTGACAAACAGAGGCCAGGGACACCACTCTCACCCCCGGATAATAGCCTTTTATGGACCTAACCTCCATGAATTTATCTAGCTTCTCTTTAAACTGTGTTATAATTCTAGCCTTCACAGTTTCCTCTGGCAAGGAGTTCCACAGGTTGACTAAACGCTGTGTGAAGAACAACTTTCGCTTGTTAGTTTTAAACCTGCTACCCATTAATTTAATTTGATGTCCTCTAGTCCTTATATTAGGGAACTAATGAATAACTTTTCTTTATTCACCCTCTCCACACCACTCATGATTTTATATACCTCTATCATATCCCCCCTCAGTTTCCTCTTTTCCAAACTGAAAAGTCCCAGTCGCTTTATTCTCTCCTCATATGGGACCTATTTCAAACCCCTGATTATTTTAAGTTGCCCTTTTCTGAACCCTTTCCAAGGCCAAGATATCTTTTTTGAGGTGAGGAGACCACATCTGTACACAGTACTCAAGATGTGGGCGTACCATAGTTTTTTATAGGGGCAGTAAGATATTCTGTGTCTTATTTTCTATCCCTTTTTTAATAATTCCTAACATTCTATTTGCCTTTTTGACCGCCGCAGCACACTGTCCACATCTTTCCTGAAATGTGGTGCCCAGAAATGGATACAATACTCCACCTGAGGCCTAATCAGCACGAGCGGAAGAATGACTTCTCATGTCTTGCATAAAACATTCCTACTGATACTTACTAGACCAGGGGTGGGCAATAATTTTTGAGGACGGGAGAAAGGAGGTAACAGTTTGGTTACATTACCTGGACTATACATTCTCCATCTCCTGGTCATGATCTTGTTCCTCCTCCTCTTCCTCCCCTTCTTCATCACCCCCGTCCTTCTCTGAAGGAGCATCACCATCCCTTGCTATTTCCTCCACGTGGGCAAGCATGTCAGCCATCAGTGCCTCTTCGAGCCTCTTCCGCACCTGCTGTACAAGCTCCTCCTGCTTCCTGCACAAAAACAACAAACACTTATTACTTTTCACAGCTGCCAAATTCGAGGGAAGGAGTGCTAATGCCTCAGCTGTGAGGCTGGAGAAGAGTGATTCTCTTTTAAAAAACAGAATATTTTAAAGTCACAATGTCAAGTTTTAATATATCATGGGTGGAGCCGGTAGCAACACTGTCTAACACTTCCCACTATACAACCTGTTTTTCAGCTGACAAACACTTGGGCTGAAATTCTGCATGTCAAGTAACTGCCTTGGCATAAATCATATGCATAAAAGGTTCAAATGCAAAGTTTCAAAGGCACCTCTGGCGTTTGCTAATGTTTGTGTGCTTGATTTTGCAATCAGAACAATGTATTAACACAGGTTTCTGTGTTTATTTATACATATATTACACATGCAAAACATAGAAAAACATTCTCTTGTAAATCTGCACAGAGTTTCCCAGGAGTCAAATCAATTATTACTGTAACACAGCAGAAATGCATATTAAATAGCATAATCGGTGGGGGGGTGAGGGGGGGAGTGGGCGACAAACCAGCAGTCCATCAGACCTTTCAGTCTGGTCCCTGGGAGCAGGGTTGGGACAGCCTTGAATGGGAGGAGTCAGCCCAACTCCGGGAAAGCCCCTTTCCAGCCCCTCCCCCTTTCATCCTGCCCCCCTCCCTGCAGCCTCAGCTCCCCCAGCACCTGGGTGACACAGTTGCTGCACCATGAACCCCAGTACTCTGAGTGGCACGGGCAGCTGGGGGCTGTGGGGGAAGAGGGAAAGGAAGGTAGATGGGGGTGGAGAGCAGAGGGGTTGGATGGGGTGGGTGCCAAGCCATGCCTGGCTGTTTGGGGAAGCACAGCCTCCTCCAGCCTTCCCTACAATTTCAGTACACAATATAGCCTCAGGCCAAAAGGTTTTCACACCCCTGGCATAGTCACTTGGCAGCTGCACTTCAAGTCAAAGTTTGGAAGCAGACTGAAGAGCTTCAAAAAGATCTCACCAAACTAAGTGATTGGGCAACTAAATGGCAAATGAAATTTAATGTTGATAAAAAAAAATCCCAACTATACACACACACACACACACACACACACACACACACACACACACACACACACACACACACACACACACAATATGATGGGGACTAATTTGGCTACAACTACTCAAGAGAAAAATCTTGGAGTCATTGTGGATAGTTTTTTGAAAACATCCACTCAGTGAGCAGTGGCAGTCAAAAAAGAAAATACCGTAAAATCTCAAGTATAATGCACACTTTTTTCCTGGTTTTTTTTTAGCATCAAAGTCGGGGTGCGCGTTATGTATAGGAGATTTTTTTTTTTTTAATTTTTAAACTCACACTCGGCGGGCATGAGCTGGGCCGGGGGAAAGGGAGGGGAAAAGGGGAAGGCACTGGCTGAGCTGGGGGTTGGGGCTGGCAGGGGCGGCCCAAGCACGCCAGCAGCTGGACGGGGGAGGCTCCCCCAGCAGGCACGAGCTCAGCTGGGCAGGGGGACCCAGTGGCAGGCATGAGCTCAGCGTGCGCGAGCTCA